ATAATTGGCATTATTTTGGTAATTACACCTTTCCAGACACCATGCAAGAGAAAAATAGCCAAGTGATGCTTGCATATTCTAGATTTTTTTATTTATTTAGTTAGGAACAATAAAATATCATTATTACAATCAAAGAATAAATTTATTGACGATTCACGGGCGCGCGATCACAACATCCTTTTCAATATTGGCTCAAAACAAATACTTGAGACTCCTACTTAGAAATAACATAATCTTGTATGCTTATCAAAAAATACATGTTTAAAAAGATATTTAAACGAGTCAAAAGAGCTTTTTTGTAAAAATAAATTTAGAATTTTCTAAATTGTAATTTTAGAACTCACGAAAATTACTAGGATTCCATTCGAATATCTCTATTATATTCTTTTTTCTGCCTTCCCTTCCCCGAGGCTCAAATTCCAATTGCAGTCGAGGAAGAGTATTATAGAGAGGAGGCTGAAGGAGAAAAGAATATACATTGTCAAAATATTACAGGGAAAGGTAATAGCACAGGAACAAGAATAGAATACAACAGAAAAATGCCCTCCAATCTTTTTAGTTTGAGTTGCAATTAGAATTTCCTATCAAACAAAAAATAGGAGTAATCATTTCCTCTCTTTATCTAAATTGTCTTTTAAAAACGTAGTCGGACCATAAAACCAAAGCTTGTAACAATAACTATCAGCCTCGTCCTTGATTTTGTGTTTGACACTGTAACTTCACTGTTTTGTCTCCTTTTTTTGTGCTCTTTTAAGCTTTGGATTCTGCTTAAGATTTAGCTTTAATGAGCATCATATCTTTTTAACAACGGTCGATAGATATATGTATAGATATATATACACACGCACATACAGGTAGGCATAAGAAGATACCCACCATCAATTAGGCCTGTAAGTTGGAGGAACCATATCCATGCTTCGATTGATCATCTAAAGTAGTGTGTAAAGAGAGAAATGCTTTTTTAATATACTTGCTAATTAAATCATCAGTTTCTTTATTATTTTTTTTAAATCGGGATTACAAGAGCCTTTTAATGCCACAATTTTTTTAATTTATTTTAATTATCCTCTATGACATATATTTTTTTTGGAATAATACCACAAATCATGCAATTTGATATATAAATTTGTCAAACAAAAATTATATAAAGATATAAATTTACAATAATATAACATTTTATTGCTTGATACTTATCTAATTACATTGTATTTTTCTTACACTTTCTTGACTAGAGAGTTTCATGTTCCAGTAAAAGTTTTTTTTTTAAGCCAATTTGTATATTAATTAGCTTTTAAAATTAAAAAAAAATTATATAAAAAATATATATTATTAATCAAACCTTAAATTTTCTGACTATATTAAAACGAATATTGAAACGAACATCATGAATGTTCAAAGAATTAAATCTCAACACATTAATCAAGAAGTTAAATATTATATTAAAAAATTATGACTTCTATTAAATATGATATTAAAACAATATGGCTTCTATTTGTCATGTATTAAAACCCCAAAAGACTAAATTCAAATGAGATCTCATGCCCAACATTTGATGTATAATCATCATTCAAAAAGAAAATGATTTCAACCTAACATGTTTCTTTTTCAATCTAAATGATCATGTTTAGCAATTAAAGAAACATTAACATAAATTATTTTTATTTTTTAATTGAAATTTAAACTAAATAAACTTAACTCAGCTATCTAAATATTAACAAAACAAACATAAACCCTATCCATATTTTGAAGGATCCTAAACAACACTTCATGTTAAAGAAAAAGAACATAAAAGGCTTCCATAATAACTACATGATCAAAATTTTGTAACAACAAACTCTCTGATACAAACATTAATTTAACCAACTTAATCCACACCAAGCAATCAAACTAACAACCAAACTTTTCCATGATTTTCACACCAAGCAAAGGCTAGGAAAAACTCACATTAATTTAACCAACTTAATCCACACCAAGCAATCAAACTAACAACCAAACTTTTTCATGATTTTCACACCAAGCAAAGGCTAGGAAAAACTCACATTAATTTAACCAACTTAATCCACACCAAGCAATCAAACTAACAACCAAACTTTTCCATGATTTTCACACCAAGCAAAGGCTAGGAAAAAGTCCTTTTTCATTATTTATGGTTCCCAATCAATCCTATAACCATATTATTACCAAATGTAAGCTAAAACATATGGAAACATGGCAAAGTATCATTTAGGTAAGAAAAATTAATGTTATTTGGTTTTAACTCCAAATGAGCTTGTATCTCACCTTCCACAACTTCATAAATGTTAACCAAGTTTACATTATCATGCACTAACAATTAAACAACTAAAAAGAGGTTGTCAAGAGGTTGGGCTATGGTTTGGGAAATTAAAGATTGTAGCGAGAGAGAAAGAGAGAGAGATTGTTAAGAGGTTGAGTTGTGGTTTGGGAAATTAGAGTTTTTAGATATTAAGAAGAAGAAGAAATAGGGCAAAAGAGGGACTATTAGGTTTTATTTGATTTTAAAATCATTAATAGAAATTCCATCAGCAATTATGTTGGTGATTTTGACACATTTTCAACGCCAATGATTTTTTTTATTTTTTTATACTTTTTATTCTGTTAGAAATAAAAACCTTACATTCGATAGATTATTCCATTATCGAGTTTGTCGGAAAACCCAAACCATTCTATAACTTTTCAATGAAAATAGTAATTCCATTGAAAATTAAGGTTATTACAGTTAATGAATCAGTTCATCATCGAGTCCATCAAAATACCGATATCATTCTGTAACTTTTCGATAAAAATGGCAACTCTATCATTTGTTATGTCAGAAAGTAAGGGATATTGTTTTATGTTCGATTTTTAATAATAATAATAATAATAATAGATGAGCATATTCAATCCAACAATTTATCACATCAAAAGTTCAAAAAACTTAGTTAGGTTTATATTTGGTTTTTCATCTAAATAGATATTACATGAACCTTTATCTAAGTAATCATGATTTATTCTCATTGCATCTATTATCATACTTCTATAAAAAAAATATTATTATCTTCTGTAAACTCATGTATGTTTCTAGAACTAGAAGTTGAGTTAATCAAATATAGGTTCATAAGGAACATATGATTCTTATAGTGTATAAACCAACATAAGTATTTCTTGACGAACTCTTTTTTAAGTAGATGTATCATTACAACAACTTCATGGTGGAACTTTTTATTTTTATAATTCACAAATGAGTATCTAATTTCATCTCCACTTATATTCTTTGGATTAGAAAGTATAAAATTAATAAAACTCTCAACCCCTTTAAAATAATTTTGCATATACAACCTTTCAAAATAATCTTGATACATCTAAAAACAACTATCCATTAATTATAAAAACTTAAATAGATTATTGATGACAACATTTATTAATAATGTAAGTATCAATTCAAAATTAAACTTCTTATTCAAATTGAATTCACAATCCAATATCTAATTATCATTTCTATATATTCAAATTTCATCAAAATTTGAACTAAAAATAAAATTAACAACAAATATTTAGTACCCAACTATTGATTCATCATTTTTTCAATTCAAATTTATTCAACCTAGATTATACATTTTAATTATTCTCAATTTCATAAAAAATCAATTTCCTCAAATTTCATCAAGTTTCTAACTTGACAATAAAACTAACAAAATGTTAATTGGTACCTATTAAATAACTATTATTTATTCAATTATAACACATCTAAATTTCACAATTAAGCTCGATTTCATAAGATGACAAATAAAATCAATTTCCTCCAAATCTCAAACAAACCCTAATATATAAATCATAAATTAATACAATAAATTAATTTTCTATAAAAAAACTTAAATATACAAGTAAACTATAAATACTATAAAAAATAAATAAATTAATCTAAAACAAAAATGAATTACAAGAAAACATGGATAGATTTTTTATTTAGTGTAGCGAAGTTTCACAAGAAATTAAACCAAGAAAGAGATGGTAACACTATTGATAGATTTAGGTCGGTGATAACGAATTGAGGTGGCTAAATTTGTGAGTATAATGGTTGGATTTGTGAGAAAATAGGAGGAAGGGATTGGTATTTTTTTAACATGAAGAAAAAGAAGAAAGCAGGGGGAAGAGAGAAAAACAAGAAGAAAAATAAGAAAGCAAGAGGAAAGAAAGAACTATCAAGTTTTATTTTATTAAATTTTTTTCAATGGAATATCAGTCAACAATTCTATTAAATAATACCAACGTGTCACATTTCAAATGAAATTTTTATTATTTATTATTTTTTCTATTCTATCAAGATTTCTATACAAAATTATTGACAAAGTAAATTCTATTATATTTTTTTATTGTCAATTACCGATAAAAAATTTCCACCGCTATATATGTCAGCAAGTATCGACAGAATATTTTCCGTCAACTTTTTCATTGCCATTTACTAATTTTCTAGCAGTGGTTGGAGGTATTTCATGGAGCCCATCACTATAACACAATTTATTTGCCTGGACTTCTATAAGATTACGTTAGAACAGGAATGCAAGGGTATCGTAAACAGATAACACGTGAAAACCATACTCCAACACTGATGGCGGTGCCGAGCTAATGAGTAGATAAAAAGCAAAATTATTCGAAATGGATAGACTATACACAACTAGCTAAGTTTTGGAGTTCGGCAGCTTTACTTGACTCAATTCAGTTCACTTGAAGAAATGCACCCATAGAATTTCCGTTTATATACATCTTCTAAGAAATTTACTCCTGTAATTCAACAATGCCACACCAATTTCAATTGTCACTTGCAATAAATGCCAGTTCAGCTGCATCAACTTGGCCTGATTCATCCGCATAGAACTGTATGCATGCTCCATACCTCATGGTAAACAAATCTATCAAAAGACCATGCTGTAACTACACTTCTAATCACTCCAGACTGCAAATAAAAAAGATAGCTAGTCTAGGCATCATAGCGAGCCAAGGGCTGATGGAAAATAAAAGCACTGGCTTTCTGAGATGCCACTTTGCTAATCAGATCTCTACTATGCAGAGAGACAGCATCAATATATTCTCATTAAGAACATATGAACTCAGCAGATTTGACTCAAGAGGAACTGTAACAGCATGTTAATTTTACAACACGATCAGTTTGAGCTACACGAGTTTCGTTCAACCTCATCTCTCAGCTCTTAGTGAACAAAAGCTTCTATATGTACTGGTCCGCTCCAAATCAATTTCAGGGAGCTTCTGCATGTACATGAAAACAGTTTAAGCCTAAACTTGAATAAGCACATGTCTGGGGGGTCGTGTCAAGTAGGAAGATGCTGATCCAACATTGAAGCTGGGTTGGCTTTCAAGCAAAACACAACTCACTGGTTACCAACAGCCCTTAAAAAGTCACCATCCCTTCATGCTTTTGGATACCTAAAAAACCCATGGAAGCTATTTATATAAACAGTTCACCTAATACACACTAAAGTTGGTTTGAATTTCCAACCATTAACCTGAGATCACTTGGAAAACCCTCCAAATGCCACAGTCAAAAGATAAATACTTACAAATTTTTTGATAAAGAAATGTATCGTAACCAAAAGTCCAATGTCTTCCCAAATGATTGGAAGCTAAAATGTGAAAAGTTGGCTTTCCCTAGTATAGAGACAATTCTCTCTGCACAGGATTTAAACCATCCCCTAGGCTAAGACAGTTGCCTTAAAAAGAGTAGAACTCAGCAGACTTGATGCATAATACTCAGGAGGTATCATCGTGCGGTCCATTTCAGTGCCAGGAACAAATCCACCACATTGTCTTGCTTTGTAAAGAAGAAATGATCTCTCTCTCTTTCTCCACTAATACTCTATTCAACAATCAAATTTCTTTATAAAAGAACTCAAACTTAAATACAACAGGAGGCCCGCTCACAATCTCATCGTTTTTCTTCTCCTTTTTGTTATGAACTATCAGCCATGAAACATACATAACCAAAATGCGTAAGAATTGCAATGGCAAATGCAAATCTTTACCCCTAAATTCAATATAAGAATATGACAACAAAAGCATAATGCTATCTCTCAAACTCCAAATTCATATCTGATCTCACACACGATCTGTAAATCCTGTACATGAAACACAAAGACTTGCTAACAGAGGAATGTTAGCAATTAATATTTATCTAAAAGAAAATGGTGCTATTCGAGGACACGGGAAATAAGAGATAGGAAGATAAAAAATTGCAAAGTAAAATCAAATCCACTAGATATACCTTATGTAAAGTGCCAGGAGATTTAATGCATATAGATTGTTGAATCAGCCAAACACAATGTCATGGCAATGCATCTAATTCAACAATAGAGAGGTGGATAAATAGCCTTATCAATCCATGCACAGTTCATTTCTATTGTACACTGAAGGGGGATCGACTCCACCAGTCATGCTTTAATTGACATGACAGCACACATTCAATCCATCACATTTTTTCATTTATAAAGAAAATTCACACCGAAACTATGTGAAACATTCCTAAATGTAAACGTGTCAATGAAGATAAAACCCCCAAAATTCATCAAAGCAGAAAACTACACCACCTTTATGTGTTATTAAAACTGATATGCAGGGCTGCTAAGCACATTATTAAACAATGTCATCCATTCAGACATATATCGCACCTATAAGATAAATAAACAACTAGTACAACAAAGATAGCTTCCACATTTATGCTTTTACTGCTAAACATACGAATTCCATTCAAAAATACCAAAACTCTAACAAAGAACAAGTTAGAAACAAATTTTCTTTTTTAAAAAAAAACTTCCCATTGTCAAGGTGCTTTCGGGTCCGTCCCATGCTGCCAAACATAAACCAACTCATCCCACCCTGTGCTTGCCAACAACCCATCAACTAGGACACTCATATCAACCCCCACAGCAAACTCGGTATGATGATCATACCTCTCAACCAATGCATCCTCCACCATAAAGTCCCACATACAAACACTCATATCATAAGAACAGGAAACCATAAAATTCCTATGATGGGGCGAAAACTTAACTTTTTTAACGGCATACCCATGTCCGTTCAAAACCGAAATCGGAGCTCTAAAACTCCGCACATCCCAAACTCTTATACTCTTATCCACCGATGCAGTAGCAATAATACAATCATCATATTTATTCCAATCACAACACAAAATCTCAAAATCATGACCTGGAATTATCATCGTACTTCCAGGCTCACGCACGTCCCAGATTCGCACAGTACAATCCCCTGAAGCAGATGCAAAAACATCCGTATGCCTAGGGTTCCACGCAGCAGAATAAACACAGTACGCGTGTTCTTTAAACGTACGAATGCTCGCCGGCCTGTCAAGGGTCCACAATTTAATGGTATCATCCCAGGAAGAGGTGATGAAAGAATCGCGGCGAGTGGGGTTGTAATCGACGGAGTGGACTTCACGCGTGTGCTCCTGGAGGGAGCGAAGCGGGTTTTGTGTTGGGGGTAAGGCGGTGTCGTAGAGCTTGACAGAGCCATCGGCCACAGCGGCGATTAAGAGGGAATCGTGGGATTCAGACCAGGCAAGGTCGTAGATGCCATCAGCTGTATCGAAGGAGATGAGTTCGGTGAGTGGGGAAGAGGGAGTAGGAGGCAGGGACAGAACGTGAAGACGGCCATTTCCGAGGATTCCAAAGTTCTGGGAAGTGGCGACGGCGAGACGCGATTCGTAAAAAGGGCTGAACTTGACGGAGTAGCCGTTGAATGGGGTTTTGAAGACTGGCATTGGTGGTGGTACGGAGATTTCTGTTATTTTTGGCCGAAAGTGGAGGGGTGAGTGAACAGTACGATTACGAGAAGAAAACGGGCTAAACTAACATTTTTAAGGCCTTGAGATTTCGATCTTTCTTTCTTTCTGGTCTCAATTTCTTATCACCAATGATGGCCTAAGAAAAAAAAACAGAGAGAGAGCATTATCTTGTTCGTCCAACCCAATCTTACGCTGAGTTCCATGGTGAATACTTGAATATCAACCCTTAATATATATCTCACTTCTGTAACATTAATAAAAACATCACTGGCTACTCTTGCCATATAAATAGAAAAGAATGAACAAATCTCAAAATATTAACACTAGATTTTAATTTTGAAGAAAGATAAAACAAGAGAGAAGACTTAGATTGAAGCTCATCTCTTAGTTTGATATTTACATAGAACATAAAAGAAAAGAAACAGGAAAAATAAAAATAAACCTTCTACTTCTGAATCAACTTATATCAAATTACTTTAATTTGCTTAAAAATTTTGTGAGAGTTTGAAATTATGTCTTTTGGATTGTCATTGATTTTTAATTAAACCCTTTTGTAAGATATTAAGTTATGTGATTTATAGTATTTTTTAAAAAATTATTAATACTGAAAATTATAAATTGAATATACATCATATGCCTGTTTTGAAAATTGTGTTATGTTTTCGTTTTAGTCTTGGTAAAAAAAAATTAATTGAAGTCCCTTAACTAAATAAATTTGCAAATATTTGATGATGGTGAACATGTGGGCAAGTGTAACACAAAATTAATTAAATTTTAAATCACTTTTCATGAAATGTGAGTATTGCATATGGTTTTTTTTTTTTTTAATTGTGATTAATATCCCAACACATATGATGATGATCTAAGAGCTTAAAAGGGAGTAGGTGAACAAGGCTCTATCATTTTTTATTTTTTTTTTATAATCACAAGGTTCTATTATTTGATGTTCCTTTTAGCTACTCTAATAAGAGATTAATAACATTGTAAAGATTCTGCTCTGTATATATAAATGATAGTTACTTTACCTGGTTACATTATTTTTATCTACTCAAATATAATTTTTTCTTATTTATTTCATATGATAGTAAGATTTTTTTTTTTTATAAAGATTGTACAGGTATTCCATTAAAAGTAGCCATAGACTGCACACATTATGGTTTTAGTGGCAATACATTCAAATATATTCTTTACATTTAGCATTCTTCGGTGAATTACTTGAAATATGCTCAAATACTTTTATTTTCTAGAAAAAAGTTTTATTGTATTTTTTTTATTGAAATGCTTATACTGAAACAAGAAATTAGTTTTATATAAAGATTAAAAATAAAACCGAGTTCAACACTATAATACCATATCTTGAAAGATTCATGAAAAATTATAAAAAAATTGTTGTAGATAACATCAATCTTTTGAGTCACAAGCTATACGATATTTCTAATATTTTTAATGTATTTTCTGAATCCATAAAGCTATGATAATTATTTAATTTGACATTTGCAACAATATAGTTTTTAAAAAGATTAGTGTAAAACACTCATATGGTAAAGTGGAGAGTATCCTACATAATAGGTTGTATTTTAATCTTTAAATTATTTTTTTTTGAAATTTCAAAGAAAATAAGATATTTTTTAGAGGGAATGTATTTTATAGTATAAATATATAACCAGATATTAAATAATTTAAATATAATTTTAAACATCGCAAATGATCCAAGCCCAAAACTTCACAACAAAAATCAAAGCCAATTTAAATGTTCTTCAGGTCTAAACCCAGGAGCAAGCATTTCAAGCCAACAAATATTACAACCTTATTCATGCTTTTATCAACTTACAAACATTAACTAGACAGCACTGTCCATCAACCAAAAAGATCATTAAGCATTGCTCTTTTCATAACCGACACAGTATTGGAGTCATACCTGGGGCCAAAGTCGCTTGAGTTGCTGGTGCTATGACTGGCTTGTCACTCCTCTGCAACACGGTTCCTTTGCTTCAGGTGTTGCTGGTACTTTATCAGTGCAGCTATAATGAAACTCTCGGGATTTGCTTTAGATTGATGCTGAATACTAAGGCTTAGCCGTTGTTGCACAGCTGGGAAGAGACTCCTGTTGCTTTTTATGAAAGGAGCTGAAGTTGTATGGCTTGAACCAAACTGTCATGCTGATCAAAAAGGTTGCTACTGCTGTGGTCGTTCTCCAAGCCATCACGGTTGCATGACGCCACCTTCATTTTGCAATGGAATGCTCCTTCTGGTCTTTTGGCTTGCAACACTTTCAGATCTTTTCCTGCCCTCCCGTTTCTCTATTCCTTGTTGCTTTAAGTGGTGGAAAAGAAGGTTTTTTTTAAGAAAAAAAAACAGGGAGAATGATGATCCAAAGGTTGTTTGTCTGCTGGTGTTCAGTGGGGGGAGGAATCATGAACGAAAGGAAGCAGCAGCAGGGGGGCTTGGATGAGAAGGGTTATAGTGATTTTTAGTCCAGGGCTTGGTTAATTTCTTTGTGACGAGTAAGGTTTTTTTTTATTTTTTTATTTTTTTATTTTTATTTTTTGAAGCCAAAGCTTGTTCTCTCTAGGGAACAGAGGCTATGTTATGGTGCAAAGATCGACGGTTGCCTTTGGTCACGAGGAAGGCAGTGTTGATATTCTTGATAATAATAATATCTAGCACATAGTTATTAAACTGCAGGTCCGGGATTGATCTGGTAAAGGTACGGGTTATGAATTTATTGAATTAATTTAGATATATTTAAAATAATATTTATTAATTTAAAAAAATTAAAATTTTAATATTTTATATAAAAAAATTAAGAAAAAATCCATATAAATATAAACTATACATGATAAAAATAATAAAAAATATTATTTTATATTAAAAAAATATATTTTTTTATTGAAAATAAAAAATATATATACTAATAGATTTCAAATTTTATATTAAAAAAAATAATTTTTTTTAGAAATATAAAATATATATATCAATACATTTTAAATTTTACATTAAAAAATACTATTTAATTTTTTTATATTAAAATATTTAAATCAAAAAATTTTTTATGAACATAATTTTTTTTTAGGAATATAAATATAAATTATATACAGTGACAGGTTTTAAACTCTACATTAAAAAAATATGGAATCTCACCTGATTTACTCCTATGACAAGTTAATCCACCGAATTAACTTAGTTTGGTTGAGTCATTATATTAATTGATTTTTTAACAAATTCGGACTAATCGGATTTAAGAACTATGATATCTAGTACTGAGGCTATCCTCCCTTTCGTTGAAACAGGTTGCTTGATAAAAAGCCAGCCAATAATCTAGTCTTGTCAAAACCAGGTTGTCGCGAATTGATCGGACGAGTGTTTTTAGATAGACATTGCATTGATTGCAAGGATGACCACTCGATGGGAACCATGTTAGGGTGTGGTATGATATAGGGCTACCAGGAGAGTGTGTCTTTTGTCTTACATGAGGTATGAAGGACTGAAAAAATATCAAATGACTTTTTACGAAGGAATCCCAATCAGTTCCCTTGTAAGAGAATTGAAACAAACAAAACAGTGGTGCCTTAATGGCAGCAATTTGTTATTTTCTTCTCTACCTATAAATTGGTTCCTGATCCTTTAATTTTATTGAATTTTATCGATTTAAGTTGATTTCTCAAGATTTCTTTCGATTAAGTTTCTAGTAATGTTAGTTTTGAGTCTCAATATTCAGTGTTTTTTATAATATGATTTTTGATCTTAAATATCTTTTATTATGTTCTTAATTAACCTTTAAACCTCAACTTCTTTATATTTACCCATGATTTTAATCAATTTTACTCCCTGAATGCATGTGTCTTTCATTTTGATCATTGGTTTTAGGATTCTCTAATTTTCCCTTTAATTAACATTTAAATTTTAAATTTCTTGCAATTACACCCTTGATTGCACCAATTTAACCTTTCAAAGTTCCAATAATGTCTCTAATCTTTCAATCTTTGCTAATTGATCCGAATTAGTTCTCCAAACATGATTTTTCTTTAATTAAATCTTCAATTAAGTCAATTAGAACTATTAGAAGTTTAGTTAAGCTCTTAAACTTATCTAATTTGACTTCTAACCTTAAACTTTATTTCAAATTAAGTCTTTTTTCAACCTATCTTGTTAACATACCTAATTTGACTATTCTTCTAGCATTTTGATCTTTTACAGCTCAAAGATTTATCCCCTCATATCTTGAAATTATTTTTGATTTTTTTTTTATTTTTTAAATAAAAAATAACATGTAAATAATTTTAGGAGATTCAAAATTAGATTATAACAATGTCCATTCTAATTCTCAGGAATTAATACAGTCTCACATCTAGCTCTTTTACTATAAAAAGAATATGAGCAAGACTTCGGATATAATTAATGGAGATAGCCATGCATATGGCTAGGACTTATTGAGGAGTGTCCTTCATAGCGAGAGCAACTTCTTCATAAAGTAGGAGTATCATGCCTACTTTAATTGTTGCTTTGTTAAGTTCCTTTATGAAACTAAGGTTGTGTTTATGCATTTGGTGCATATAATGAAGTTGGGTAATGTATTTTCTGTTGAGGAAATGAAAGAGCGTGAAATTGTTCTTGTATATATAAAATAATATTGTTGAGCATTTGCACTAGATGAGTGAGTTACTAGAAATTCAGAGGTGAAAGAGTTTTTATAATGAGGAGATTAGTTACTTCTCTTTGTCCTAGACTTTTGCTAACCATGGAAAATATTTTGATAAAAATTAAAATCAGAATGAACTAGGTTTTGATTCAAGTTTCAATAAATAAAACCACTATCGAGGTTAAAAAAAAAAACTCAATTGGATTTAGGCTTTCCTTGACTAACGAGTAAGTATGGAAATATAATTTAGGCCTTAGATTTGATTCATGGTCTCCTGTAAAACATGTCCCTTGACGAGTATTAAAGCCGTGCAAATCTAAACCCTTAAAATTAATTATTTGTAGTAGTATAGAAAGTAAGAATATTGTCCTAAAGAGATATAATTAGTAGAACTTAATTACTTAATCAAGACAAGCTATTTAAGTTTAGATTAAAGGAAACCAAGTCAAGATGCACTAAATATATTAATATGAAAGAATTAACTAATATGCAATTTAAAAAACGAGCATCTAAAATTGGATTTGTTTATGATCTAAACTAACTAAAAATAACTTAGAAATCTAAGAAAAGAA